AAGAGGTAGCAAACACAATATCAAAGATTACACATCAATCAACAAGAAAAACTTAGAGGAACAAAAGAATAAAAAATCGAGCAAAATCACCCCACTAGTAAAATCCCAACAAACTCCAGCAAGTCTATCGTACCGACCCTTTATACCCATTCACTACAATCACCCAGTAATTTCACAACCCATATCAGAAACCTAAACCATCAATTACTAACAACCACACAAAAAAACCAGGTCTAGTGGCAAACATAGAAGATACATACAAGTTTAAAATTTAGAATCCAAACAGTTGTAAAGAAAGAAAAAGGAAAAGCAAAAATGGGTTTTGAGCTTGAGTTGTTTAACATGACTTTCCACACAAATCCATCAAGTTTCAAGAAGAATCAGCTAGGGAATAGAAAAACAGAAAGGCAAAATGACTTTCTGGATAAATTTTGGTGTCTTTCGATCTTTAGAGAATGGCCAACGTGCAGTGGCGATGACGATGTTGTTTCACCAAAAACTAGGTTAAGTTTGAAGATCCCAACCGACATTTATCCATTGTAAAGAGAAGTTAGAGATTTTAACTTATAAAGAGAGAGAGTGAAAAGGCAAGAGTGAAAGCAAGGATTTTGGCAAAGATTTTTATACAAACATCAAAACGATGCCTTTTTAGCATTTGAAGAACATATTTCCTTTAACCCACTTAGAAGATTCATGAGTCCACCTAATAGCCAACCCAACTCAATCGCACAAGCCATACTCCTGAGTAGTCTAAGCTAACTTTCTAGCCACACCTCTTAAGCTATTTTCTATTTCTACAGCCAAGATATCCAGTTGCCAAGTTGAGCCAAAATTTTTGGTATATTTTTTATTTTTACATTAATCTATTTATTTATTTTTGTTTATTTATTTATTTTATTATTTGATTATTTATGTATTCATTTATTTGTAAATTTTTTTTTAAAATTAAAAAGATTTTTAAACAAATAAAAATAAACCTTACTAACATATTGAAAAGGTTTAAGTTTCTAATGAATTTTTAAATAAAAAAATCTTACCAATATATTGGAGGGTTAGATTTTTAAAATGAATTCTTCAATAAAATAAAGCCTTACCAATATATTGAAGGCAATATTATTTTCAAAATAAAATTTTTCCAACATATTAGAGACCTTTATGAAATTTTTAAAAAATTAAATTTCAAGAAAAATAAAATAATTTTCATAAAATCGTACCAACATATTGGAGGATAATTTTTAACAAAAACTCTTATCAACATATTAGAAGATATTTCTAGAAATAAAGTGTTTTTGTAAAATTAAAATTTGAATTTCCAACAATGAAATTACAAAGAGCGTTACAAATAGCAATTTCTATATAAATTCCTAGGTGAAAGATTCTTTCTAAATTTTATCAACATATTGGAGAATTTTACACAAATTAAATAGATCCAACAACAGAGTATCTTCAAAACGTGACAAATAATCTTCTTGAATACTCATGAGGTGAGTGAATGCCCTTGAATTATTACCAAAATATTGGAGTAATTTGAGAATAATTTCCAATATTAAATTATTTAGTAAAATTTTTAAAGCTTTTGGATAACACGAAATCAAATAGTTACCATACTTTGATAGGCATTGTAAAGGTGTTATAACTTTCTTCATATGTAACAATACTTTCAGACTTAGTTTTAGTTTCATGGATTAGAATCAATCTCTTCAAGATACTCAAGTCAAACTTAGGACCTCTTTAAAATGAGATAGACTTATTAGGTGGTCAATTACACCTAGACAAAAAAGATTAGTGGCAACCCTTTAAAGTTAGGTGTAGTGATAGGTTTACAGATCTATACATTATGACAAGTTCTTTATAATGAAGATAGTTTGTCTTTTAGAAATAGCACTAATAAAGATAGTATGCTTTATCTAAGTGAAGAAAAAAGGATTATGCTCTTAAAATGTTGAAGAGCATTAAATATATATAAATATTTAAACATGAGGCTGGTTAATTTATATAATATAAAATTTTTTAGTCTTACACATTTTTTTAATCTTTGATTTTAATAGGTTTAAATGATGAAAAAGATAATATTTTAATGAATGAGATTAAGCAATTTGAATAAAAAAATAAATCTATAACTCATTTGAATCAAAATAATATTTTTAAATTTAGTAATTTTGATCCAAAAGTTTAAAAAAATATATGAGTTATATTAGTATAAGTGGATTCCTATTTATATATATGTGTGTGCGTGTGTGTGTGTGTGTGTGTGTGTTTGTGTGTGTGTGTGTATATGAGATTCATTTACTTTAGTGTATGAGTTTCACATTTTTTGACTTTTGGATCAAAATTAAATTATAAAGTTTATACTTGTCACTTTAATCCAAAAGTCATAAAATTATGTAACTTTTACGCTAGTGTAAGTGGATTCTAACTCATATATAAAACATAATTAATGTTTGCAGTTAAACTAACTTAGAAAATCGGTTAGATTAAAAATTAAACATTTGACTGATTCGATTTCTAGTCTAATTGTTAAAACGTTGGCCAAAAATTAACCAAAGATGAAATATCTTTAGAGTCCAATATATCTATATCACCTTATATTAAAAGAACCCCTAATGGCACATTTGGTTTAATGGAATCTTGATTCCATCTAGGCTTTTTCCTAATTCCCCATTGATTCATTTGTTTGGTTCAAAATATGGCAAAGAATGGTAATTCTGATATTTCAATTAATTCCAAGTTTAACTAGAATTGCAAATCTTATTTTCTCCATATTATTTGTAATTCTATAGAGCTAGGAAAACTAAAAATATATGTTATCCCCATTTTACCACTAGTACAAAACTAAAGACTTTGATCGACAACAATACTTTGACCAATGATAATATTTTAACCAACATTGTGGCAAAAAAATCACCACAAATAAGAACCAACATCATCCCAAGAGTGAATCAACATAAAAGAAAATAATAATAGGAGAACGTAGAGATTGATAAATGTTGGAGGGTTATGCCTAATAGGTTGAATAGCTAGATGAGATGAGAAACATATCTCATTTTCATATGGTTTGGAGCAGGGAAAGATAGTGTTTTTTAAGGTGAAAATTGTGGACTTAGAAGTTAGATCTAAGCTTTTCTAGGATGTTTTCGAAAAACCTAAGTTGATATCGGTGAAAAGGAGATTGAGACAAGCATGTGGGTGAAATTTGGTTAAAATCAGCATTGGTCAATGGCAAGTGGTAAAGGTTAATGAGATTGTTGAGAAAGAGACCTTGATATTTTGGTTTTTAAAAAGAAAAAAAGAAAATAGAGATGGAAAGAGAAAAGGAAGAAAGAAGAGAGGAAAAAGTAAAAATAGAGAAAAAAATTAGAATTTTTTATTAATTATAATTAATTAATAAATTTTTTTTAATTTTTGTTATTTTTAATTTTTAATAATTAATTTTTATTAAATAATTATGATTAATTTTGTTTTAATTAATAATTAGAGAGAAATGAGTATCAATAATTACTTTTTATTAATTAATTATGATTAATATTATTTTTATAATAAAATATAATTAATTTAATAAAAGGGTATAATTGACTTTTATACTTATTCCAACAAATTCTTTAAGCTAATTAAACATATTAATACTACTTCTTATTATATTTCATTCCAACGAACGAAGCACTATAATAACTATTTTATTCTATTTCTCATATTTTTTATTCTCACGAAATATTTATTTCATTTCATAAACCGAACATGTCATAAGGGATTTGAGAGGTGACAAGTGTCCATTTTGATAGGTTTGTTAGGTTTGAGTATGAGAGGTGGACTATACGTTTATAGGAGCTGGGTTCTATATTAAATGGTGTATGTGTTTGTAGTTTTACATTAAATGGGTTGAGTCAATGTTTAGATTAATTTTCGTTGATTTTGAAGTAGATAAATGACTTGAGATTTTGTTTGTTAGGTTTGGTTCTGGGGAAATAAATGGACTAAGATTCTATTTATGAGATTAAGATAAATCCCTCAAAAAATAAGTTAACAAATGATTGATCCATTTTAAATAAAAAGCTCAACCCATATAACGTAAACAACACAAATCTAAAATATAAATAGTTTAATTTTATTCCATTTTTTATAAAAAATTTTCCTTCTTAGATATATTTTTTTAACTTTTATTTACATATATATATTTTACATGTTACTTTAAATAGTAAAGAGATAGAATTAATCATAAAAATGATCATTTGAAAAATCTCTGATGAAGAAAATTGTTTTGAAATATGTAATAACAAATTTTAAAATATTTTCTTAAGTTAAGGAACCATATAGTCAATTTTACTAAAGTGTAAGGAAGTATTTACAATTTATTCAAATAAAAAATTAATTTCAAATGATTATAAAAAATATTATTATTATTATCATCATCATCATCATCATTGTCATCAAAATTAAGAAATTTTTTACTTACTTAGATAAATGAAACATTAATAAAAATAAAAATAAAAATATAATATAATATAATATTTTTTAATAACTACAAAACATAATTATAAATTTAACTAAAAATAGTAAGATTTCAAATAATTAAAAAAAATTTAAGAGAATATAGATATTTGGTAAATAAATTTAATTTTTATTGAAAAAAAATTGAACCCAAATCTCAAAATGAGGTGGACATATCCACTTAAAATAATTTAAAAAAATTCAATCATGAAATCCTTATTAATTAAAATGAATGAAAAAAAAAACATTTAGCTTTTTTTTTCTCAATTCCCTTAATATTGTAGTGATGGGCAATTCACTAGTTAAGTTATTTTATTTAAAATTTAAAATATATTTGAAAAGATTAAAATATTAAAAATTTCTTTCAATTTTTTAATAATATTTTAAAAAATAGACAAATATTATTGAATGGGCATATGCGGGTTATAATCAGACTCGAACTTTTGCTATTAATATACCTATAAATATATTTGGTTTTTTTTTTATCATTAAAAATTTGAAGATAAATAAATTATTCAATTTTTCAAAATAAAGCCTAGATTTAGTAAAGAGTCCAAGGTTGATGAAATGACTGCCAATGATCTACTTTCAACAGAAGCATAAACGTTTGCCAAGAAAAGCACCAAATTTGCCACATTAGATGCATATATTGCCTCCCTCTCACTCCTTGCTAGCTGCATCATTTCTCCCTGGAATAAAATTTGCATCACAAAGTTAGGTAGTTTCTCTCAAACAGCCGATTTCATCAAACAAAATTCAAATGAAAATGCATGGAAACAAACCTCAGTCAAACTCCCTGGCAAAATGCCCAATTCATTAAATGCGTCCTCTTTATTGAACCCTTTGAGAAGCTTTTCCTGCCTGTTGTAATACTCTGAAAATTTTCTGTCCCTGAAAAGGTACACAATTGCAAAGTATAAATATTAAATTTATTGGTACTTAAGAATTAAGAATATAAAATTTTATCAACAAACCACGCGACTGCGATTGTCAGCTAATTATTAAGTTTTTACGTAAACTGGCAAAAGAACTTAGGAAGATTGACGAGGCAAAGTAATTAAGAGCACAAACGATACTGGAATAGCTTACTTGAGGCCTTGAGAAATATCTAAGGCTAAAATATGAAGAAATCCAAGCGTCTCTCTGGAAGGTGAAACTTATCCATGCTGAGTTGCCAATATTGTTCACTTGCCATAGTCACATTCTCTCCAGCCGGAGCAGGTGACAGGAGCTCAGTTCGGTAGTCTGATGAATCTGTTCGACAGTTGCTTGCCATTTTTACTCCAACAATCGATTCCTTGGAAGAGAAAGAAGATGTATCACTCCCCTTATAGTGGGAAAATTTGCATACAGCTCTAGTGATATAAGCGAAAATACAACTGCTCCACTTACACAAAAGCACAATGGTTTACCATGTAATCAATTAAGAAAGGCATGGATAATGTTGCTTTGGTCCTACCAGTGTACACTTTTCTTTAATGCTATTATATTGTGTCTTGAATTGACATCATTGCCAAGTAAGTATCACCAATATCTCATGCCTTAATGGAGTGGAGCAGTTGATTTTCGTTTTTCCATACACGAGAGGTCGCAACCCCAGAATAAAAAAAAGAAAAAAAAAAGATTGTCGGTGCTCGAGACCTGCTGACTTTATGTATTAGATATAGGAACTTTCAAGTATGAAAGGAATCCTAGTTTTGGAATATAATTTCTTTTTCACACCAGGATAGTACATTTCAGGATAGAAAACCATCTTTTTAAAATGTTTTGAAAAGTATTGTGTTTGGCCGTGTCATGGGGATCAAGCGATTCTTAGTGAAATTTCATTTGTTTGATTTAATTTGTTATTGACATGTGATTCAAGCCAATTGTCTTACATTCGATTTTGTAACTGGATTTAATTCTTCAATTTCTATTTATAGCAATATCTTTTTTTGGTATCAGAGTTCTTTAGGTTTACTTTTTATGTAAATATGATATATGTATAGCCTAAAGGATTAGGTATGAATTACATGTAATTTCTTGGTTTTCTTTTTTTAAAAAAATCTTATTTATAGGTCCAAAATAGATTTTTTTTTACTTTAGGAGTCTATAATCTATATAACAAAAAAATTTAATTAAAATTTATTTTTAATCACTATGAAACTTGTGTTATATATATATATATATGTTTATTAAAACTTTTTTTTATTATTTGTTATAGAAAAACATGAAACCATTATCTGAACCCTATTGTTATTAGGATACAAGCGCTACTTTAAAAAGCAGGTAATTTGCTCAAGCTTTGACTAATTATCAAATGGGTCCTAATTATTATGATACAGTAAAATATCATTCCTGTTCATAAAAATATTTAAGAGTAAATTTAGAGTCTCTATTTGAGAGTGATCGTAACATATATTTAATATAAAGGGATACACTTTTCATTTTTAGACAAAAAATATATATATTGATTGATCTTTAAATTAATTGATGTGTCGTTGAAGTTAATGCTTGAAGATTGTAAATTTATATGTATAATATTTTTTTTAATCAGATAAATAGTAAAATAAAAAATTTTGAACGTAAATTAAGAACTTAAAAGAAAGACAAACATGATTTTTGGATGTATAAGTTGGGGATTCTCGATAATAAGTGTCATTCAATTTTAATAAAATTTTTTATGATAAAATATGTGAAAAAAGGACAAATGACCCTTCAATATCAGCACTAAAAAGGTCATGCGATGTGATTAGTTATTTCTTTATAAACGTAGTTTAGTAAATGTTTATTTCTTATTTTTTCTTATTAAATTGGTTTATATTTTTAGTATGTTCATGTTTTTATTTCATGAGACTGGTTTATGTATTTTTTTTTTTTTTTGCAAATTTTATCTATTTATGCTATAGTTTGCAATTCTAAATATAATTTTGTATTAAGTGGGAGCTGTAAGGTATTTAAAATTTGAGTTGCCTTATATGATAAATTTTACATAATAAAATAAATTAGTAATAAATAAATGTTTTGGCATGGATGATAATTATCATTGATTTAATTTAAAAAATAGATCCGTATAATGTTATGACTAGTTTGGTGCATTTAACAAATAATAGAAGCTTATCACGTCTACACTTGCTCTTCTTCAAATGGTTTTCTTGCATCATTGACATGAGAACCATTCACATCAAAATCAAGATATACGGTATCCTTAACCATTTTATTATAAGAATTTTGTATTTTTATTTCCTTCATTGATTCAAAGGTATTTTCATTTATTTATAAGAATGAAATGAAGTCAAAATTCATTTGTTTGTTTGTTAGCAGGATTCTATGTGTTAATGTTATTTGGCTTTAATTTAAATATAAAAAAATTTAATTACTAAATTGCAATATTTATCTTTATTTCTAATATATATTTGTTTACAATTCATAGGTTCCTAAAAAGACACTAATTTTATTATTTGATATAATAATTATTGATATAAATTATATTTTATATTAAAAATTATTTATTATTATTTTTATTAAAGAAAAGGAAAATTTTTATTATTTTGGTAAAAGTTTCATCTCAAAATAATAGTGATATATTATTTTGTGTAGAATATAACAGTTAAAAGAAATGCACTGGTCAGTATGAACTTTTTGCTCTATTTTTTCTTTCATGGAAAGATCATTAACACAATAATTTCAATTTGTTTCAAATTAGTGAAGGTGGAGGATGGAGGACATTGGGAAGCTCTCTGCTCACTTCAGGTATAAATTGATAATGCTAATTTTCAACACAAAAGTGTAATTAGTTAATCCGTTAGTAATAAGCTAATTAGTTAATCCGTTAGTAATAAGCATGAAAATGGTCACAAAAAGGTTTTTTTTTTCAATAATCCGAAAGTAATGATAAAAATTCTATTAGTAAATTTTGTTAGTAAAATTACAGTTTCATCAATCATTTAAATAAAACATTTATAATTATTAAAAAAATTGTAAATTATTTAAAAAACCTATAAATTACAATTTAAACATGTGTAATTATTTAAATATTCTATTATTATTAATTAAAATATCAAATCCAGATAACATCCATTGAAACCATCATAAAATATCCATAAAACGTACATAGCATCCATCCATCAAATATCTCAAACAAATCCAAAAACAAATGTCACTATGCCACTGCTACACCTCTTGATCCAAAATCTTTGTTATCGTCATCAGGTTTAGAATATTGTAATGGCGGAGTTTGTCTAGATCCCATCAATTGCATTATTTGATCCATAAATGACATATGCTGTGCCTTTAGCTTAGTCCTCAACTGATTAATTCGTTCTTCTATATGAAGCTGATGAGCTTGAGGAGGCATGGATGATGAACCACAAAGAGTGAGACATTCCAGTTTTAGTAGTGGACTAAGTTGAGTGAAGTAGGTCCCTAGATCTATTTGTTAATCCAAAACCATAAACATGAGTGTGCGTAGCTTTAATCCCTCCAATAGCTTTAGTTTATGTTTGTGGATTGAAATCTGAATGATTAGAAGAGTCTTCACTGTATTTTTGAGATAATGCAAGAGCATAGTTTTCCTACAAAAATTTTAGAACAATAATCATTATTATAAGACTCGTATAGTTCACTAAAATAACACAACTTCAAATAATTCACAACATCAATATTTGATTATTACATATGCAATAGTTTTCACATTTTACAGAGTCATTGCATTGTAATATGCACAAAATACTATCCAGTTCAATACACTATCTCCTACAATGTCTTTGCTCTAAATTGCTTCACTATATACTTCATCAACAATCATAATACATAAACAAAATCACAAACAAAAATACACAATAATTTTCACCTTTTACAAATGTGATCTCATCTAGATACGTAAAAACCTTTCACAAATAACTAGTCATTGCAATATACTATTAGCTTAGTTCATCAATAATCACAATATACAACCATCATCATAAAGCAAAATACGTAATATATGATAAAGATAGTCGATCAACAATCACAATACACAATTGTCATCACAATTCAAAATACGTAATAGTTTTCACATTTCAAATATATCACTCATTGCAATATAATATAAAGATAGTTAAACAATAATCACATTACACAACCAAAATCACAAAGCAAAATGCAACAATTTTTACTTTTCACAAAGTCTTTGCATCACAAAACATACATGATGACTTGAAATGTAAATCATCTCTCATGGATCCTGCCCTAGAATCACCTCGATGGATAGTATTCTTTGCACACGTCCCATCATAACAATTGTTTAGAACAAACAATTCCATAAGTATTCGTTTAACACAAAGAAAAAACAAACACATATAATGCCTTTCGTAATACAAGATTAAATGAAATTAACAAAATATATAAAAATAAACATACAAAACAAATAATAAAGTATTATATTTACTTGAGGTGTATTATGAACATCGAATAAGCATTATATATAACATTAAAAGTCACGTTACATACATCAAACACTATTAGAATAAGCAAACTCATGTGTTTCATCATCATCATTATCATCATCTTTTTATTCTTTTTCTTCTTCTTGTTCTTAAGCTTGAATAGCTTCTACTAAATCTATCTTCTCATATTCACCTACAAGAACTTGAAAGATTATCAAGTTCTTCTAAGATAGTAACATTTCGTGGAATAGAAATTTTAACTTCTTAGAACACGTCTTCATTTAAATCAATTGCCTTTTTGTCTCCATCAATATTACTTATTTGATATGTACTATTGACCTTTGTTTTGAAGACTGCTTACCAATAATTTCAATCTTTTTTTTTTAGAAAGATAGTTTGTATACGAAACTTGATGTACTTTCGAAGATAATTTGCATACGAAATTTGATGTACTTCCGAAGTTAAGACAAATGGTTCATTGTTAACAAGCATTAAATTATATTTAATTTCAACAAGACCATAACGAGGATCTTTGTGTCAAACCAATGACATTTAATAACATGATTTTTTTTAAACAAAACCAATATTTAATTTCAACAAGACAAATTTTCTTATAACCAAGTCCCAATGTTGTTATATATATTTTTTTTCCATTTTGTAAAAGTTTTCTAGTAATTTGTTACCCACTGGCAACATATCCTTTACCATACTTAGTAGATGATCAAAACATGACTCACTAATGTTAAACTCTAATTTGCAATTTTAAAGTTACAACATAGTAGAGAGGATTATATGTTTCATACAGTTTAATCAGAACGGTTCATCAACATCATTTAGCAAAGAATAAAAACTTGCCATGTCTACAATTGGCTATTCTTCGAATGCTTCTTTTACTTCACTGGCATGAGAGCCATTCACCCCAAAATATACAGCATTCATAACCATTATACTATAATGTTTTATTCTTATTTCTTCCGTCGATTCAAAGGTATCTCTATTTATTTATAAGAATGAAATGAAATCAATTAAATTCATTTATTTGTTTGTTAATAGGATTTTAGGTGTTAATGTTGTTCGGGTTTAATTTAAATATAAAAATTTTAATTAATAAATTGCAATATTTATCTTAATTTCTAATATATATTTGTTTACAATTCATAGGTTCATAAAAGGACACTAATTCTTTTATTATTTGATATAAATTATATTTTATATTAAAAATTATTTATTTTTATTTTTATTAAAGAAAAAGGAAAAATTTTATTATTTTAGTAAAAGTTTCATCTTAAAATAATATTGATATATTATTTTGTGTAGAATATAACAGTTAAAAAAAATGCACTTTTTAGGATCAATTTTTTGCTCTGTTTTTTGTTTCATGGATAGATCACTAACACAACAATTTCAATTTGTTTCAAATCAGTAAAGGAGGAAGATAGAGGACATTGAGAAGCTCTTTGCTCACTTCAGGTATAAATGGATAACGCTCATTTGCAGTGCAAAAGTGTAATTAGATAAAAAGTTTTAATGGATTTGAATGTCGGACTATTAAGAGGTATTATTTAAAATTTATTCAAATCTTTTACCGATAATAAATCTATTATTCAAATTCGACAATTATTTATTTATTAATAATACTCAAATCCGATAAATAATCGGATCGAATAGTACTAAATATTTAATTATTTACTATCCATTGTCAAACCTAATTCAATCATAGAGTGAAACTATGGGGGCACTTGAAAGAGGTCGGACATTTTATTTTATTACTTAAGTGCTTGTATTTGATAAAATTATTTTCTAGTGGCTAACACATGGCGAAGGAAAATGCATGACACATGGCTAATGCATGGTAAGTATACTTGTTGTCAATGTATGCATAACATATTGGTAAGGTGGCATTTATCATCTTGTAATTAATGGAAATAGGCTCAATAGCTACTTGATTGTCTTTGGCTAACAATGCATGTCTTAAAAATACATGCCAATTTCCCACTTGAATATCAAGGGACAATCCAACTTTGTACTACGTTAGAGAGAAACATCAGATAAAACTCTGATATCTTCACTCATTCACTCACTCCTCATTTACACGGCTCTCACTTTTGGAAATGACAAACCAACAAGTTTAGTTAACATGATTTTCCCCAAGCTAGCTATCTATAAGCTTCCATCTCAACAATATTAATAGAAATAGAGTCCGTTCTTACCATACCAAAATAATCCTTCGTATCCAATTAAATAGGTACGATTTTTGGAAATGGTTATCAAGTCGATAGAACGAATTTTTTATATACAAAATAGTTAGAACGGGTCAAAGGTGATTTTAAAAATGCTTAGTCCCGAACCATTTCAGATATATCTAAATGTATCTTATTGCTTATTTAATTTTATATTTATATATATTATATTAATAAAAATTTTAATTTATTAAAATATTATATTTATTTATATATAATTAAGTATTATATTAAAAAAATTTATGAATATTATACTAAATTAAAATCATTAAATTAATTTTGACTCGAATTGGATTAAGATTATATATATATATATACATATATATATATATATATATATTAGATTGAGATCAAGTATAAAAAATAATAATCTAATATTAGATTGAGATAAAGTTAGATGTCCATTAAAAAATATTTAAAATTATTAAATTAATTTTGAGTCGAATTGGATTGAAATTATTTATATATACATGTATTAGATTGAGACCGAGTATAAAAAATAATAACCCGATGTTAAATTGAGACAAAATTGGATGACTATTAGAGAATAAGAGTCACAGCAAGCATAAACCTAACCCTATTTGCCTTGTTGCCATCCCTATCCTTTGTGTCGACTCTTGTTTGTCTCATATTTTCATCATTTTATATTATCTGTCAAATTTTGCAGACCAAAAAAAAAAAAAAAATTACAAAAGCAAAATAAGATTATCATAGAGCAATCAACTGAAAAACGAGTGAAATTCATGTGCATATTGAACAAAAGTAAAATTATGTAGCATTTAAATTACAATAGGAGAATGTAGAACAAAAGTACTACAAAGTTATTTAAAAGACACTAGTAAGTTTCAGACATCAAAGTCATCACTGCAAGTATAGATGATAAGATCAGGACATGGTCTTATGTTCAGGCCTATGTGTAAACTCAAAATCTATATGCACAAAGGCTCGCTCAACTTCTGGTAGCTGCTCTAGCTTCTTCTGGAGTTTCTCACCTATGTCATGTGCTTTACTCAGGAGCATGTCTTCTGGCAACACAATGTCGACCTCCACAAAGTAATGAGAACCAAAAGTATATGCCCTAACTGTGTCAATGTGTTGTATCTCTTCATGGTGGTTCCATATCAGATATGTCAGTTTCGAAACAAATTCAGGTGGAGCAGTCTTTCCAATTAGTGACCCTACATTCTCCATCACTGTTCTCGCCCAGGTACTCATTGTGTATAATGCTATCTGCGGTTATGGATTTAAGAAGTATAATGAGCTTTTAAGCATATTAGTAGCATGTGCAAATATGAAAGTGGTGCATGACACGTCCACAGCCAGGATTGGAGAATTACAACTTCTTTCTAGGAACAAACTGAGCAGTGAATCCCAGCAAAATTTATAATTTTGATCATGGCATGGAGAGCATTATCATCATTTAATTGAAGCATCAGGGGCATTATAGTGCTAATAAAAATACTGAAACCCAATAAACTATAGCATACATGATTGAGAAGGATTTTTAACTCACTATTATAGCTCCAGTTGGATCAATCCACCAGCGGAAATTAATAGCTAGAACGGCTGTTGCTAAACCGACTGAATTAGTAATCACATCAAAGAAATGATCCTGTGCATAGGCTCTAACGATTTCATTTTTAAATTGCCGGCAATAGACCATGAGGATGAACTTCACCACTGTCACGAAAACCATAATTCCAATCATCCATTTCTCTTGCTTGTGATTGATCTCAGAGTGGGACTATAGCCACAAAAGGAACAAAATACTAAATGAGTAAAAAAGTTGTGGCCATAGCAAATGATTAAAGAAACTAATGGCAATTTTGTGTAAATGCAGCATCTAAAAGATGCTGCATTTACCTGAATCAAAGTAGCATACCTTTGCAATAAGTTCCCTGACAGACTCCAGCAATATTTGTAATCCCAGAGTTGCCATTACTGAAGCAAAAACAATGATACCCTGGATCGTCAAGCTTAGTTAGTTGATATTTGTTGTAAATGGAAAGAAACACCGATTTTTATTGAAAAAGCTGTTCAAGAGGTGAGAAGAAAAGCAATCTGAAAAGAATTTCTGTAAAGCTCAGATCAATAGAAGATGATCTTTGAAATTAATCATAACCATAAATTAGACTGGAGACCAGAGAAATGACTTACCACTGGCTGCATTCGTTTCTTTCCAATTGGATATTGATAATGATTGGGGGTTTTCATGGCATGTGCAGTGAACCATAGAATCAATCCTGACAAAAGATCCAAGAGTGAATCTAAAGTTGATGCAATAACTGCTAAAGATTTGCTTTCAATAGAAGCATAAACTTTGGCAGCAAAAAGCACCAAGTTAGCAATGTTCGACGCATGAACTGCCATCTTCTCACTCTTAGCAAGTTGCTTCATTTCATCCTGAATAAAAAAAGGTACTTAAGGATTAAATTTTGCTTTCTGTGAATGAAAAGGATTTATATAAATTCAGAATACATTGATTTGTGAGTTTTATTTGATGTTTAAGGCAAAATGAGAAGATCATACCCTAGGATTCTCGTTAAATGATACTGTTCGCATCATTTAACTAAAATGAAGAAAATACCTCCAATTGCTGCATCTAAAAGCCCAACAAAATCTTTAAAACCGTCAAATTGTCTGGAAAATGGAAGTGCATAATGGTCTAATCCAGCAGACACAGTTCAATGCTCTGCTAGTTGGATGAACAATGTCATCTAAAGCCTCAGGGTAGTTCAATTCCCCCTCCCCATATCATTTTAACTCATGCAAATCAAGAACAAAACATCTCTAAGTTCTCTTTTCATCCCTAGATGGGATAAAAACATTGTGGGGACAAAGCCAGTGAAGGAAATACCTCTGTTAGGCTTGCAGGCAAACAACCCATCTCATTTATGGTCTCCATCTCGTTAAATCCTTCAAGGAGCCTTTCTTGTTTTTTATAGTACTCTGAAACCTTGCGCTGTTTATCTGAAGTCAAGAGTGAAAAAAAGAATATTCAAAAACAATCATAACATTATAAGAGAAAGAGATTGTACATGACATCATTTGGCGAACTGCCTGAAACGACATTATAACTTGTTATACATACAAACCATATTACATGGAAAAGAACAGAAGGGAATGATGAAACTATGAACTTTTGCCTTCAATATTAAGAGTTGTCAATTGTTAAGAATCTAGAATAGACTTCTAGTTGGTAGCTCAGAGTCGTAAAATGTTGGTGACCTTCTTCCTGACAAATCTATGATTCAATCAAAAGAAACCCTTTACTGCTAATGCATAATACTTCACAGAATTTTGATATGATAGAAAATCTTGAGATGATTTTCGTTTTATAACATCATAGAATGTCCCATAATTAGTGCTTGCTATGCCTTAGAAACAGGTTTGGTTATTACGTGTGCTTCACCACAAATAAAGGAAAATAAGCTTAGAGGATCCAATTCAATGCCCATCAAGTTCTCCAAGGACCACCCCTTAAATTCTGAAGTTTGAGTTCAAAAAATTCACGAACAAAGCCAGGAATTTGAGATTTTGTAAACCATATTCTTTGGCCTAAGTCTCATCTGATTTTTTTTTTTTTTTTATCAAGGACTGCCTAATAATGATCTTTGTATATCTTGTTGGGACAAAAGACAAACACTTCAACTTTTTAGCAGATAATATTATATGATTAGTTTAATAAACAAAATTGATTAATCCATGCAGGACGTGGAAATTAAAAATCAAATATTTGGAAGATGACAAAATGAATTAAGCATCCATCATAAATTCTCCTTCATAATTCCATTTTTCTATTAATTTAATTATAATTATAAGATGACACAATGAATTTAATTGCCCTTAAAACTCGTGACCCTTCACATGGCCACAACAAATCCCAGGGTCACCACAACAGTTAGAAATTAAGCAGAAAATCTACCGGGAATATTTTTCTCCCCAATGAAAGGAAGCAGTTAAAATGAAAATAAAAAACAAGAAAATCTCTTTGCAATTGCAGAAACCACTTCCTTTCAAATACATAATTTAATATAATCTCAACGTTTTCATAAAAAAAAAAAAAAAAAAACTACAAAACTGAGATTGAAGAAGTGAAAACTTACTAGAAGTACAAAGCATGATAGAGAAGGGAGCGGCATTGTGATGATCATCAGAGCTTAACCTTTGTTGAAGAGGATGAAACTTGTCGGAGGTGAGACGCCAAGAGGACGGCAACGTTTCTACTTGATGAGGCAGAAGCTCTGTGTTGTAATCACCGCTCTCCATTTCTTTCTTCCTTTTTGGGTGAAAATGAAAATATCAAAACGTTGCTTTTTTATTTGTTATTTACGCCTTTTTTTGGAGGGAACACAACTCAACAGCTTTTATCTCGTATATATATATGCTTGAATTTTCCTGTCCATGAATAAATAAATAATAAATCTTTTTCTTTATTAAAATATGAAAAATTTTCAGATTTTGACAAGTGAAAAAATTATTATAATATAAAGGAAAATGATCTCACACATGATATAAGACAAACGTCATTTATAGAGTTGAAAAGTTTCATTGTCTACGTGTAAAAAAAATAATCATAATAATATAAATCAACATAAATTAAAAAATTCATTGAAAATTTGACTTTAATTTTTCAAATTTAAAAGTTGTTTAATAAATCATTTAAAATTGTAATTTATTCAGAAGTTAATTCGATTCAACTGATTTAATCATTTTTAAAACATAATGACTATCAAATATTTTACCGAAATCTTTTTTAATTTGTTTGAAAGAAATAGAATTTTAAAAGATGGTCACTGCATGCTTTTTAATTGGTGCTTAATTACCTACTTTGATGATCTCAGATGGCATGATACTTCTGCTGATCTCAGATGGAATGGTACAAGATGTTACTTGAGATTATATAATTTTTATATATATTTGACAAGTGAACTACTTGCATATTCATTCTTTTACTTACAGTTTATGATAATTTATAGGAGTTGAGGATGTGATTTTTTTTTTAAATTATTGTAGTGATTTAATTATTATAGTGATAAGATTATTAAAGTGAATTGATAACTAATGATGTTAAATTATAAAATTTACTGTAATATTATAAATAATTAATAATCTTAAATCATGTGTTTGATATTATATAAAAAAAAATCTAGTACAAAATATATATACTAAATATCTTACAAAAAAATTAATATTATTGAATATGAATAATTTATAGAGAATAATGTATTAACGTTCATTATTGTCCAAGTAAATTAATCAGAAACTAATATTAAAAATTATTTTCTCATTGTAATAAAATCTTCTTAATTTTTTAAATGTGAATCAAATCATTTTTCAAAGTAATAATTTTATCACTTTGGTAATTTAAGATTACTGTCATATAAAATTTTTAAATTAGTACCAAATAAGGTGACATGATTATGAAATATAGATTATTATGATTTTTTGATTGATCACCACGAATCATATGTTAGAGAATTTTATCAAAAATATTTTTTTAAGTCCCATTTTTCCCATTTCCCCATTCGTCTAATGTATTGACACTTTTCGATCCCCAAATGTCGTGATAGCTTGGCAACTTCACTATGATACATTTTTAGAGAGTTGGGTAAAAGATTGATTATATGTTATCCTAAATTTTGATTTAATGGTCTTAGTTAGTGTTTAATTTTAATTCCTTGATTTTAATTTTTTTTGTTTTCCTAAAAAATGAAAAAAAATGTTTTGATTTCAATTTTTATGTTTTCAGATAGCATAAAATTAAAAAAAAAAAGTATGTGTCTGTGTGTGTTTTACATCTCATGCATATTTTAATTATATCATTTACTTTAAATTGTTGTTATTTATTTTGTTCTTAATAATTGTTGCAGGGCATTTAGGTAGGGGTAGTTTTAAGAAAATATGAAAGGTTTATATGTTCTTTCTTACACACTCACATCTACATTACATGCATAAGCTCTATGTCTGGGCTTTAACCTTATTTAGTAGAAAGTAAATTAGCTACGTTTTTGTAAAGTATAAACTTTCGTAATGGCTAATGAAACACTCTCACTCAAATTAAATCATTTTTGCTTATATCTTTTAATGTGTGAGGATTGAGTTGCTACACTAGTATGTGATAAATGATGTAAAAAATAATTTGAGAACCTTTAGATGTATCAATTCCAAGCTCAACATTTAGTGAGCCTTAATAAGCTAGCCTCAAGTAAAGCCATTTCATACCATTTCCATAGAAATTACCTTAAATAAGTCACATGAAGGAATACCTCTTACCTTCCTCATTTGTTTTTTTGTTAATTTGATAATTTGCATTTGTTGCTCTTAATAAAAGAAACATAGAAATCATTAGGAATAACAAATGAAAACAAAAAATCCAAGTGGATATTTGTGAAAAAAAGGTTGAGACAAGCATATAGGTGAATTTTGGTGAAAATTGACATTAGTCAATGGCGAGCTGTAAAGGCTAATGAGATTGTTGAGAAAGAGACTTTGTTTTTTTGGTTTTTTGTTTTTTAAAAAAGAGGGAAATAGGGAGGGAGAGAAAGAGAAGGAAGAAAAGAGAGAAGAAAGAAGAAAAAGTAAAAACAAAAAATAGAAAATTTTAATTAATTTTTATTAATTAATAAAATTTTATTTAATTTTTGTTGGATATTTTTATTTCAATAATTAATTTTTATTAAATAATTATGATTAATTTTATTTTAATTAATTATTATTAATTAATAATTAGAGAGAAATGAGTTAATCAATAATTACTTTTTGTTAATTAATTATGATTAATATTATTTTTACAATAAATTATAATTAATTTAATAAAAGGGTATAATAGACTTTTAAACTTATTACAACAATATTCTTTAAATTAACTAAACATATTAATACTAATTCTTACTATATTTCATTCCAATGAACTAAGTATTATAATAATTATTTTATTCTATTTCTAATCTTTTTTATTCTCATGAAATATCTATTTCATTTCGTAAGCCAAATGCACCGTAGGGGATTTGAGAAGTGACAAGTGGCCACTTTTATGGGTTTGTTGGGTTTTGGGTATGAGAGGTGGACTCTATGTTTATTAGAGGTGGGTTGTATATTAAATGAGTTATGTGTTTGTAGTTTCATATTACATGGGTTGAGTCAATGTTTAGATTAATTTTTATTGATTTTGAAGTATTTTTTTTTAATTTGAAGTAGAGAGTTGAGATTTTGTTTGTTAGATTTGATTTTGGGAGATAAATGGATTAAGATTTTATTTGTCAGATTAAAACAAATCCCTCAAAAAATATGTTAAGAAAAGAGTGATCCATTTTAAATAAACAAGCTCAACCCATTTAATGTAAACAGCACAAATCCAAAATATAAATAGTTTAATTTTATTTTATTTTTTACAAACATTTTCCCTTCTTAGATATATATTTTTTAATTTTTATTTACATATTTATATAAATATATATTTATTTTACATGTTACTTTAAATAGTAAAGAGATAGAATTAATCATAAAAATGATCATTTGAAAAATCTCCAATGAAGAAAATTATTTTGAAATATGTAATAACAAATTTTAAAATATTTTCTTAAGTTGAGGAACCATATAGTCAACTTTACTAAAGTGTAAGGAAGTTTTTACAATTTATTCAAATAAAAAATTAATTTCAAATGATCATAAAAACTTTATTATTATTATTATTATTATTATTATCATCATCAAAATTAAGAAATTTCTTAGTTAGTTAAATAAATGAAACATTAATAAAAAAATAAAAATATAGTATAATATAATATAATATAATATAATACTTTTTAATAATTACAAAACATAATTATAAATTTAACTAAAAATAGTAAGATTTCAAATAATTAAAAAAATTTAAGAGAATATAGATATTTTGTAAATAAATTAATTTTTATTGAAAAAAATTTGAACCCAAATTTCAAAATGAGGTGGACATATCCACTTAAAATAATTTTTAAAAATTCAATAACGAAATCCTTATTAATTAAAATAAATGAAAAAAAAAACCGTTTAGCTTTTTTTCTCAATTCCCTTAATACTGTAGCGATGGGTAATTCACTAGTTAATTTATAAATATCTCATTTTAATAAAGTTTCACTCAAATTATTCCTCATTGTTTAGATAAATAGCAACAAACAAGAAGTTGTTTTTGACAGGTCCCTTGATAACATAAAAGTTGTAATAGCCATAGAATGAATTGTTTTCGTTGAAAATCATGCCGCCTTTGGCTTGTTCTCTCGCCGATGAATGATATCAAAATCCACATGAACAAAAGCTCGTTCTACTTCAGGAAGTTGCTCCAGCTTATCTTCAAGAGTCTGTCCAATATTATGAGCTTGGCCAAGGGACATGTCCTCAGGCAAAACTATGTGAACCTCCACAAAGTAGTGAGAACCAAATGTGTATGCTTTAACAGTCTCGATGTGACTAATCTCTTCACGGTGGTTCCAAATTAAGTATGTCAGCTTCGCTATATACTCTGGCGGTGCTGTTCTCCCGACTAGTGCCCACACGTTATCCATCACTGTCTTTGCCCAATTCCCCATTGTGTACAATGCTATCTGCACCATAGATATACACTTCATCATTGTCATTAACTTATGTTGTGTTAGGTTTATACTTGAGTAGAGTAGACTTGTTCATGGGTCCGATGGTAATCCAAGTCTGCAAGCTTGGTTTGACTTTAGACAGGCTTTAAATAAAGAGTTTTTGAGTTTGGACTAATGAGGCATTTAAAAATTTATTTTGAAAATATCCACTTATAATATATATATATATATATATATATATAAATAAAAGAGTGTCCATAAAAAATTTTTGACAGTGCACAGAAAATTTTTCTTTTAAAATTTTTCATTTTTCAAATATTGTTAAAGGGGTAAAGTCGCCTTTGGTTCGATCCGACATGATCGAGATATTATTTTATTAGTCAAAGATTATTTTATTTAAAATTTAAAATATATTTGAAAAGATTAAAATATTGAAAATTTCTTTCAATTTTTTAATAATATTTTTAAAAAATAGTTTTAAAAAATAAATGAATGTTATTAAATGAGCATATACGAGTTATAATCAGATTCGAACTTTACATTTAACAATGTCAGTAGAACTTAGTTTGATCCGTTATCACTTCTAAAATTTTTAAAAATGAATGTGAAGACAAAAGTTTGGCTTTAAATAAGTTATATGCGACTTATGAGAACCGTTTGTATAAATTTAATTAACAAATCAAATAAAATTGGACGTATTTATAATGAACTTACAAGAATTGCCCCGAGAGGATCAATCCACCAGTAGAATTGGATAGCTAAAACAGCAGTTCCCAGTCCAATAGAGTTAGTAATGACGTCGAAGAAATGATCTTGAGCATATGCCCTCACGATTTCGTTTTCAAATCTGCGACAATAAACAGTGAGCACCAATTTTACCACTGTCGCTGATACCATAATCCCAATCATCCATTTTTCCTTTTCATGATCCCTTTCAGGTTGTGCCTGCAATTTGTAATCAGTGGTCATTTGTTGATACTTCACTTGGAGTAGTTACTGCATGCTTCTTAATTGGTGCTTAATTACACGTACCTTGATAATCAGTTCTCGACCTGATTCAAACAATATTTGCAATCCCAGAGTAGTCATTACTGATGCAAAAACAACAATTCCCTGCACAATTCATACAAAGTTAAAAGTTACAGAATAAAAAATACAGAGAGAGACCCCAACATCATGCTACTGCCTAACTACTTTGATGATCTCGGATTGCATGATAGATGACGTTGCTTGAAATTATATAATTTTTATATGACTTTGACAGTGAACCATTACTTGGATATTCATTTTTTTATTTATAGTTTATGATAATTTATGGAGGAAGTTTAGGACTTGATATAGTAATCTAATTATCGTAGTGATAAGATGATTAAGGTGATTTGATCACTAATGATCTTAAATTATAAAATTTGATATAATATTATAAGTCATTAATAATTTTAAATCATGTATTTTGTATTATATAAAAAAAATCACCTGGGACAAAATATATATCCTAAATAACCTTGCAAAAAGAAATTAAAAAATTTAGTATTATTGAATGAATAATATGTAGAGAATCATGTATTTATTCTCGTTATTGTCAAAGTAAATTAATAAGAAAATAAAATTAAAAATTATTTTCTCATAATTATAGAATTTTCTTATCCTTTTGAATAGGAATTCAATAATTTCCCAAAACAGTGATTTTATCATTTCAGTTATTTAAAATCACTGCCCTATAAAATTCTTATATTGGCATCAAACAAGGTAATATAATTAGAGAATACAGATGATTTTGGTTTTTACATTGATCACCACGTAGCATACGCTTAGATGAAAACTTTAAGTACCAATTAAATATTTGCCATGTCTTTAGTGCATTGGTAGCCATAAATAAATTTCAATGCAAGTTTTTCCAGGAAAAAAAAAAGACTTACAACAGGCTGCATCCTATTTTTGCCAATAGGGTACCGATACTGATTTGGTTTTCTCATTGCATAAGCAGTAAACCACAAAATAAAGCCTGACAAGAGATCCAGTAAAGAGTCCAAGGTTGATGCTATGACTGCCAATGATCTACTCTCAACAGAAGCATAAACTTTTGCCAAGAAAAGCACCAAATTCGCCGCATTAGATGCATATATTGCCGCCCTCTCACTTCTTGCTAGCTGCTTCATTTCCCCCTGGAATAAATTTTGCATCATAACGTTACGTAGTTCCTCTCAAACAGCCCATTTCATCAAACAAAATTCAAATGAAAATGCATGGAAACAAACCTCAGTCAAACTCCCTGGCAAAATGCCTAATTCATTAAATGCGTCCACTTCATTGAACCCTTTGAGAAGCTTTTCCTGCCTATTGTAATACTCTGAAATTTTTCTCTGTGTCCCTGAAAAGGTAAACAATTGCAAAGTGTAAATATTAAGTTTATTGACACTTGAGAATTAAGAGCCTAATATTTTATCAATAGGTCACGCGACTGCAACTATCGACTAACTATTAAGTTTATGCATGATAGTCTGAGAAACTGGTACAAAAACTTAGGAAGATCGATGAGGCAAAGTAATTAAGAGCATAAATAACACTGGAATAGCTTACTTGAGGCCTTGAGAAAATATCCAAGGCTAAAATATGAAGAATCCATGCGTCTCTCTGGAAGGTGAAACTTATCCATGCTGAGTCGCCAATATTGTTCACTTGCCATAGTCACATCCTCTCCAGCTGGAGCAGGTGACAGAAGCTCCGTTCGGTAGTCTGATGAATCTGTTCGAAGGTTGGTCGACATTTTTGCTCCAACAAGCGATTGCTTGGAAGAGAAAGAAGGTGTATCACTCTCCTTATATTGGGAAAATTTGGATACAGCTCTTGAGATATAAGTGAAAATACAACTGCTCCACTTACCCAAAAGCACAATGGTTTACTATATAATCAATTAAGAAAGCATGGATAATGTTGTTCTGATCCTAGCAGTAAACACTTTGTTTTCGTTCCTTCTTTTCTTTAATACTATTATATTGTGTCTTGCGTTGACATCATTGCCAAGTATCACCAATATCTCATGCCTTATTGGAGGGGAGTGGTTGAATTTTTTTTTTTCGATACATAAAAGGTCGTAGCTTTGGAATAAAAAAAAATTGTTGGTAATGAAATTCAAACTCTGCTGATTTTAGATATAGAAAATTTTAAGTATGAAAGGAATCCTAGTTTTGGAATATAACTTCTTTTTCACACCAGGATAGAAGAACATTTCAATTATGCTGTTGTATTCTAAGCCTCTTTAAAATGTTTTGAAAAATCTTGTGTTTGGCCTTGTCATGGGGATCAAGTGAGATTCTTAGTGAAATTTCATTCGTTTGATTTAACTTGTTATTGACATGTGATTCAAGCCAATTGTCTTACATTCAATTTTGTAACTGTATTTCATTCTTCAATTTCTATTTATAGCAATATCCTTTTTTGGTATCAGAGTTCTTAAGGCTTAATTTTTATGCAAATATGATGTATGTTTAGCCTATAGGATTAGGTGTGAATTACATGTAATTATTTGCCATGAAAATTGTTACCTATAAATTATATGCATTTGTCATAAAAATTGTTGTTTTAGGTTTATTGATATTAGATGATCGTTGGCATGTTGTCAATTATTTTGGCATGTTCTCAAAACCTACCGAAATATGTATGGATGACGTTGAAGGTCACACAAATTCCCATTGCAAATCGTATTTTTTAGTGATACCACCATTATTTGGATCCAAAATTTTATTTTAAGTTGAGAATATTTTTAGAAAATAAAAAAAATTAATAATCATTTAAAATATATATATAATAATTTTTTTTGTTTTCTTAAAAAAATCTAATTTATAGGTCCAAAATATTTTTTTTTTTACTTTAGGAGTCTATAATCTAATTAAAATTTATTTTTAATCACTATGAAACTTGTATTATGTATACATACATATATATATATATGTTTATTAAAACTCTTTTTTTATTTATTACAGAAAATCATGAAACCATTGTCTGAACCCCTATTGTTATCAGGATACAAGCACAATTTTAAAGAGCAGGTAATTTGCTCAAGTTTTGACTGATTGTCAAATGGGTCCTAATTATGATGATACAGTAAAACATACCATTTCTGTTAACGAGAACATTTAAGAGTTAATTTAGAGTTTCTATTTGAGAAGTGATTGTAACATACATTTAATATCAAAGGATACACTTTTCACTTCTAGACAAAAAAAAAATATTATTGATTGATTTTTAAATCAATTGATATATTATGGAAGATAGTGTTTGAAGGTTGCAAGTTCGAAAAATTTTAAACATGTAATGTTCTTTTCAGTCAGATAAATAGTAAAATAAAAAATTTAAAATAAATTAAAAACTTTAAAAAAAATTCGTGGTTTTTGGATGTCAAAGATCGGGATTCTCCATAATACGTGTCTTTCAATTTTAATAATTTTTTTTGTGAAAAAATATGAGAAAAAGGGACAAACTATCCCTTAATATCGGCATTAAAAAGGTCATGCGATGTGATTAGTTATTTCTTTATAAATGTAGTTTAGTAAATGTTTATTTCATTTTTTTTCTTATGACATTGGTTTATATTTTTAGTATGTTCATGTTTTTATTTCATGAGACTAGTTTATGTAAATATTTTTTTGTGAATTTTATCTATTTATGTTATGGTTTGCTATTCTAAATATAATTTTGCACTAAGTGGGAGTTTTGAGGTATTTAAAATTTGAGTCACCTTATATGATAAATTTTACAAAATAAAACAAATTAGTTATAGTTAAATGTTTTGAAATGGATGATAATTACGAAACTTAGTGAACTTTTGACTCTATATACTATATGGATAATTATCATTGAACATAAATGTAAAATTGAATGAAAATAATTATGAGATACGGAGTATGAAAATTTAGTATGCGCAAGAGGGATAAGAGGATCTTGAAGTTCTCCACAATATCATTGAGGAACCAAAAGAACGGAATACTGTCCAATATAGAAGTGATCGTAGGCTTATGAAACTTGAAAAAGAATTTCACTATCATATTACATTGCTTATCAGTATAAAGAATGTTATCATGCATGAAATCAAAAAGCATGATACTACGAAGGAAATGCGGACAACTTTGAAAGTAAAGTCTAGTGAAACTTCAGTTACCAAGCTTTAAATAACTCACAAACAAGTTTGATCAGTAGTGAATATTGACATTTAATTATAAAGGAGATATAGGTATAATCGATCGAATTCAATCTGATACAATATTAAATTTGAGCTTGAATTTAACTCCAAATTTGAGATTTGAAATTTGACTCGAATACGATCGAATTATTTTTTTAACTTAAACTCAATTGAAAATAAAAATCAAATTACTCGAATTTGTTTGATTAGGCTCGATTAACATGTAAAAATAAATTCAATTTTTATATTCGATAAAAACTTGATTATTTATATTTGAACTCTAACTAGAGTTTAAGATATTTTATTAATTTAAATAATTAAAATATATTAAAATATAAAAATTCGATTAGACTCTAAAATTATTCGAGTCGAGTATAAAAGCCAAGTACAAAAATTCTCAAACTCGACTTGATTGATAAGTCGAGTTACTCGAGTTCGACTCGATAATAACTGACCCGAATTCAAATTTTATTCAAATCGAATCAAAGTAACTTATGAGTATTAATATATCATTTACACCTCTAGAGGGAGTCAATTAATATTATATTAATTTTTTTTTTTCATTTGTATCTTACTATATATATTTAATATAAATAAATATATACAAGAAATTTACTAAAAATAACTTACAAAAATATAAATTTTATCAATTTATAAACAAATGTACAAAGAAACATAATACATCAAATAAATAATTTTACTTTTGTGATAATTTTATTATTATCAAATAAATAATTTTACTTAAAATTGTGAATGATTTTTTTAAAAATACAAACAAACCAATTACTAAATAACCTATTTTTCCTAAAAACAAAAAATAAAATAAAATATATCATTAGAAACGATTGATTAAAAAGAAAAGAAAACATGTTTGATATTTGATTGTAGATTTAGAGTCTTATGAAGAAATTATAAAGTCAATTTGACTTTTGTGAAGAAATTAAAAAATCAATTTGACTTTTGTTAAATTAAGGTGATTGTGATTGAAGATGATTATGCTTTTTAATTCTTATAATAAATCTCTTGATTTTAAGGGTTTTTAAGTAATAATTTATTATTATAATAAATAAACAAAAATTTTAATGCGACTCCCAACCAATCAATAGATTTTAGCTACCCAAAAAATATCTCTACAATACATTTTTATCGATCTTCCATGCATATGCCATTCCAATAGCTGGTTTAACTGAGTCAACCGAGCATAATGCATACACACCGAGAATAAAGCTAATAAATTATTTGATTTCCTCAACAAATACGAGTCTTAAAATTTTGGGGGCCAAAGACCTCTTTTAACTTGTTTAACCATCCACCTCTGCTTTGTGGTACCAAAGGTTTTTAAAATTTTTTTAGGTAGGCCAAGGCCTCCTCTGGTTTGTATAACCATCCGCCTCTGAGTTTGACATTTATAAGAAACACTCGAATCACAACATGAGGCAAAATGTAAAGCAAAATTTAAGTGAGCTAAATGGGACTGATCACATTTATAAGTGTCAAATTTTAAGCCCTTAAAATTGGATTGCATTAACTCGATTTTAACTTAATGAATAAACAAATCTTATTCAAGCAGGCAAAGAAAGCTTGAGTCGAACGAAACTACCTTGTGTCGATCGACACAAAGGTGTATTATCGACACACATACATTATTTTGGATTATATGAGATTTTTTCTTGATCTCATTTATTAGTCACTTCTTTCTATGAGCTCAACTATTTGCTACTAAACATGTGATAGAATCTTAAGTCAAGAGTGGATTGGATCACGGACAACCCACAACCCTCCCCACACTTGGTAAACAGTCAATAACAAATGTTCATCCCCCAGCATTTGGAACCTTTTTCACCCCACACGGGCATGGCACTAACCCAAGTCTTCCTAGACACAGTGAGGAGACTAAATCTATTAGAAGACATAAATGCAGCACTATTGCTGAAGACCCCTCGTTGATAAATCCTGTCAGATTTGTCCTCAAGTTCACTCAGAAGACAAGGGAAGAGAAGGGAAAGTACTCCCTACTTTGCATGCCACACCACCATCATGCAGTGAACTTGATATGCAAGATGCCGAAGGGAATGATCCAGGTCTTCGTGGAGCTAGCCAACTGGCTTCTAAACCAAACACTGCTTGAAGTCTTTCCTATGAGGTGCCTTCTTTGGAATGCAAGGGGTGCTGGAAACCGAAACTTTCGGCAAACCTTTATGGATCTGACGCGAATCAATAACCCTAGTATTATGATTATTACTGAAACTAGAATTTCAGGGGAGAATGCTGAAAGAGTACGCAACTTGCTAGGATTCGACAAAACTTTTCAGGTTGATGTTGAAGGTTTCTCAGGTGGTATCTGACTCCTTTGGCACTCTGCTGAAGTTTCAGTCAATATCCTTCAACACTCCTCCCAATTCATTTATGCCACTGTCCAGGTAACTTCTGTTTCTTCTATTCATGCTTCTTTTTCTTCTTATCCTTTTGTTTAATTAGTTGTTATTTGCTATTTATGCTCGTCCTCGTGTTGCCATAAGACTCCTTCTTTGGGAAAATCTCTCGGCCTTTGCTCAGACTCATTTTTTTCCTTGGATTATAATGAGAGA